GATCAATGTTAATGTTTTGTAGTTATATCCATAAGCTCTCATTTTTGCGAACCCTTGAGTAACCTTTAGAGCCATACAAACTGTTGATATCAAAGGTTTTTAATTTTCACCTTTGTGTACACAAACCCCCAAAAAGTAGTCGCCAACAGCGCAACTTTCCAAACGCCCTTCCTGTATATCTTGTGGATAAAAAAAGGGACCATTTTGGAAAACAAGCATCTTACCTCGCCCGAAATAATGATATTCAACTGCCTCTTAGCCATAATTCTAGTTCTTATAACACGTCTTAAATCAATTATTGCATATGATACGGAGCTTCGTAAACTATCCGGTAACTCTGACCAAAATGGCATAACCATATTGTGTGTGTTGGTCATGTCGTCACTGTACGTAAATCCAATGTGAATCGTCAGACGAACCAAAATACACTGTCATTGTTTTGTCTATGGTGATATACGCCTTCCAAGGCAGGGTCAATTTACAGGGGTCAAAAGGTAGGTACTTGGCGTGGTTTTACGTTATTTAATATGCAATATAACTGTTCGTAGTTCTATACTACACTGTCAGAGTCGTACAAATCCCTACATAGCCTTAGACAGCCCTACATAACCCTACATGATCCTACATCAGCCTGCATAGCCTTACATACTCATACATGGTCAATAACTCCTATATTTTGATCATTCGTTGCCAGCTAACGAGGCATGGATAGCTATTGATATTACGCCTTTGTGCAAGAGGCTACTCTTCGGCGTAACTTAACTTTTATTTGGAGTAACGTTTTTTTGTCCGGGGAATCTCAGTTAAGATCATAGTACTGAGAATATCGTCAGACGTGAATTCCAATTTTCCTCTGATAAAATAGATATAAAAAACTGATTATCTAATTTTAATAAAGAAGAGGGAAGAATTACTTGACTGAAGACTGGCTTTAATACACTTAGAAAGTGAAATTACTAAAACCATTGCTTTATTGATTTCAATCCTTTGAATGTAAATCATGATTAACTGCACTTTCGACTGTAAAAAAACTTTATAAGATCAGGGGGAAGTTGATTTGAAATCAAAGGAAAGGTACAGTAAGTGGCTTTTCTTTCAGGAAAATCAGTCATCAAAAAATCAATGTAAGACAGTGAGTTGATCTGTTTAGTTTCTTCTGCTCAGGTATAACTGTGACGCATAATGAAACACCAGTCAAAACTTTGTCTACGCGGCGTAAAATGATGAGAAAACCCGTGATTCAAATTTTCACGGTAGGCATATGTGACATCAAAAACGCCGCCGACCTTTATTCATTTTTTTTAGTTTTAACGCAATTCACTTGAAATTTTGCAACAATATAGAACTCACCATTCCAAAAAAACTTATGTTTTTTGTTTTTCAGATTTTGGCATTTTTGCAGGAAAATGACGTCACAAAGTTCCCATCAAATTTTGTTTTTAGTATTATGGGATATCTAATGATGGTCTCTGAAAGAAGTCACCACAGGGATGTCAAAAGTGAAAAAATTTTGAAATATGCCTATCCACTCAAAAGATATAGCGTTTTTAAATTTGAATTTCCCGCTATTTTGTGCTATTTTTAGTAACAAAATGGCGGAAAACTGAACTTTCAAAACGCTATATCTTTTGAATGGATAGGTATATTTCCAAAATTTTTTCACCTTTGACATCCTTAAGGTGACTTCTTTCAGAAACCATCATTAGATATCCCATGATACAAGAACAAAATTTGGCGCCACATATGCCCACCGTGAAAGGTAAAGTTGGTTTTATGAAATAGCAAAAACCTCGCGTGAATCAAGTAGCGGTATAGGAGCTTCATCGCAAAACATGTCATTGCCAGAAATAGTGGACATTTCGCGCCCGTGATTAATTGTCAGCGGAATCTCATTTCCAAAATGGCGGACAAAAACGATCGTAGTCAGGGAAAGCGTATCCCCTGCGATTTTTTAAATAATTTGAGCTCTGTGGATCTGTTTTACGAAGAAAAAAGCTGGAATGAAACACCTTGCAAGAAAATGTTAGGTTTATACTCGGCCGAGCGGCTGATAGCAACAAAACAGTACGCGGCTGTACCTTTCGTGACATTTTCGTGACATTTTCGTGACAATTTTGTTTTAAAACCAAGCCTGGTAGGCTAATCGAGGATTTTTGAATGCCTGGAACCTAGTTTATATCCCGTGAAGCATCTCTGGAGTTGTAGCAACAACCAAAATGGCGATTCGGTGAGGTTTGGAGTTGTGAAGCTTTGTCCGACCGAAATAAGTCATTCGCAACCATGGCGTCCATTACTGGACTATAGATAGAAAACTGCGGGAAATAATGCGCCTTTGGAAGTATTTTCCAGTGCAAAAATCGTCCTTTTAACAACTGTTTTATAAACATCTTCCATCGCAGAAGTGATATCGAGTCGTGCAAATTTACTTCAGTGAAGGGTTTATCCTCTAATCGACGAGTATTCCGCATGACTTCGGCAAGATTTTAAGACAATGTATGGAGAAATGGAGCGTACAACGAGAGATAAAAGTGGCCACTTCGGGAAGTAAGTAAACCTACTTCTACTTAGCTATTTTTAACCCAGATGCGAAGGTTACACAGCACTTAACATGTTTCGAGTCGTGCACCGAACACCCCTGAGTTCATAATCGATATATTTGAAAAAGTTTCCTTTTCTCCATACATTTTCTTATACGAATTCGCAGCCATTGTGGCCTTGGTGCGCACGCGCAACCGCCATCTTGTCCCTAATTTCTGGCAATGGTCTAGTTCCAATCAGCTCTTTCTGGACGATGTACTAATCAGAACATAACCTCTTAGCAGTAATTCTTTTCAGCAACTCCTTTGAGTAACAAGACTGTAGGAACCGCATATTAGTGTAGGAGTGAAAACTCGAAAAACGTGTAGCGCCAGTTTAATATTTGAACGGAGTTTAGTCAATGTTTAACAAAACCGCGTTCTAAGCCATTTTCAGTTTACCCAACGCTTTTATCTTACCAACATTTATCAAGAAAATTTTTAATGAAATCATAAGGCACAGTCTAGAAAAGCACTTATTTTCTTAAAATTACCCACTAAGGAAGATATTTTAGATCAAATGATTTGCTAAACCAAGGCCTAACTTAGACTTAGACGTTTAAATAACTAACCTGTAGAGTTTAATGACCATACTCTCTCTATAGTATTCATTACTCTCCATAGTATCCATATACGATAGTTTCCTGTTTCGGCCAGGATTTCACTGTTCTTCAGTCGAGAAATAGAACGAACATGTGAAATGAGATTTGTATCAATTTTCCGTGATGTTTAGCCTTGTTAAGGTTTAAAACAGAAAGGTCTCTATAGACCCGAATTTCAGCTGCTGTGGTGGTGACAAAGCATTTAGACTCCAAACATATTGCAAAGGTTTAGACAAATACAGTCTACGCCTCAGTCAAGGTGTATTTAGTTGTGACAACAGATGAATTCCGCAAGTTTCTATTCCAAGAATTTGTTAGATAGTGAGCCGCAATGAACCTTCATGTACTTTATCAACATCTCAATGACATTTCTCCATAACAGAAGCATGCAAAAGCGACGATGGTTCTTAGCAAAGCCCATAGTGAATCCATTGATCATGTTAATTAGTGTTTCTTGTCGCGATTAGCTGCAAAGAAATGTAAAATTGAATTTATAGTAATGAACATCAAACATCAGTTTATTATCAATTAGAAGGGAAAAAAAACAGAACAAATAGAATCCTACAAACAATATTCGCTCGTAAAATTCCCCTCTCCCACTCCCCCTCCCCGCAATGAGTCCCTCTTGATGGAGATGGAGTTTTCTTTGTTCCAAAGAAATGCTGTAAGTCAATTTCTCTTAAATGTACACGCTTAATACGGAAGCAGATTAATGCTATGGTCAACAGAGACTCTTTCGTGTGGCCCGATCGAGTAAAACACTTTTAAACAAACCTTCGCTTTACCGACAGTTGTACGGTGATGAACCGACTAAAAAATTTCAGTCTAAAACAAAGTCACACATAATGGCATTTTTTTTATCTAAAAAAAACTATCTAGCTTGCATGATTTTTGGTGCAAAACGATTTGAACGAGCAGAGCTCTCCGTTGAAAGATACGGTTAGATATTAAATATGTGTATGCGATGTCTCTTTTGGATAATAATAATTAATAGTAATAATACTGAATAAGGACTCTCTTCTTTAAGGCATGTGCCTTTTGTGTCCATATAACCTGGTCCCGCCATGCAACAAATGAATATAATTAATTTAATACCGGGATTACGTTGCCTTTCAGGGGTGAAACATTTAAAACAGTTCTAGCTACCCAATTAGATTGATTAATGCCCCTCTATATTCCATTATCTATAAGAATCAGACATGCGTTGTTGATAACTTCTGAAACACTGCAAACGTCTGCTTAGTGAATTCAAATTGATCAGCTCTGTTGTGCAGTTTGTTTTGAAACGCTATTTCAGTCCGGTCATAAGCCGCCCGGAAATACCTCCCCACCCCTCCCCCCCCCCAACCGTCCTTCCCCCCCCACACACCCCCCCCCACTACCGCTCTCTACTCCAAGCCACTACTCAACCCTTGCTCGCCCTATTCAAACCTCTCCTCTATCTGCTGCCTACACCCACACTGCACGAATGCTATAT